AATTTTAATTATGTTGCAGAGTGTTATATATATATATAAAAAAAAATAAAATAAATATATATATATATATATATATATATATATATATATATATATATATATATATATATATATATATATATAGCTAGTATTTGACAAAGGACAGCTTATAAAATCTCCCCTAGTTCAGTGGTGGATTCACCTAAAAAAACTCCTCCAGCCGACGAAGCTGTGGATTGTGAGCCACAAACTGTGAGTATTTTTATTTGTTAAATTATCTATTACATACAGTTTCTTGTGTTAACGGTATGTTGTAGCTAGGATTTAAATAAGGATGGAAACAACAGGAAATGCTGTTTGGCACCACTAACAAACTAGCTACAAATTTAAATTTATCCACTATCTTCAGCAGCGCATGCAATGTCTCTCTATGCAGCCACTTTCAGTGTCTCTCTGTGCGGCCGCTTTCCATGCGTTCTACATCTCAAAAAACAAACTTGCAAAAGAAGTGTGAACATTTCATATTACTTCCACATGCTTATTCCGAATAAAAGTGAAAGACACTTGTCACAGTTTATTTTAGAGAGCAGGCATGAGGTTCAGCTGTGTGCTCTTCATTTTCTGCCTTGTTCAGGCACAAACTGTTACGGCTAACAGCTACTGTTTACACTGCGCAAAAGCTCATGCTTGTAGGGGCGTGACATGAAGCCAATCCGAATCACAGCATATTATGTTAGCTGACCAATCAGAGCATCTTAAGGGCGGACCTTTTAAAGGAACTTGAAAATAAGACAGTTGTTTTCATGTTAGATGAGTAGATGTTTATAATCAAAATAAGCTATATGAAAAAATAACTTGATTTTCTACAAATTAATCATGAGTGCTGGTGGCTTTGCATCTTATAAACACAACCAAGCCTTAAAATACACTGTGAACCAAACCTTTAATGTCATGTACAGTACAAGACACAGTGTTCTACCTATTGTGTTTTATTAGCCTATACACCAAGAACCTACAACCAGCTCCTGATTTGGTGCACTGTGTTACATCACAATGAGGAGCAACAGCTATCTTGACCAATGATCGCTCATGCTATGAAATATAAAGGTGCTATGCTGAGGCAGTTCTAAAGCCAAAAATACTCCAAGCTGGTATTAGCAAGGTGTACCTAAAAAAATGGCCAGCTAGGGTGTATTATGGTAGCAGGTATCATCACCTCTGCTTTGAGAGATAAGATTCCCCAATGCCACAGCTTATTATAAATTCCAAAAAGCAACCTAAGTGACCAAATACAAGAGAACGTGTATCTAACAAGGTGTGTGGGAACGAGTCTCAGCCACACAACACCTACTGTCTTTGAAAGAATATGCAAATGAAACACTGCATTACTTGCATAATCTTTGCATTTATTTCAATGTAGTTACTTGTAACAGATTATCATAGTTTAACTTGAGCGCTCAAACTTGCTGTCGGTGGATCTGTATGATAGCAGGACTGATGTGCTGTCTGTTCTCACCTGTCATCGCAAGAGATTGTCAAAGCGTTGACCCAAAAGTCGCACGAATTTCCCCCCTACAGAGTCCCGACAGTGGGGAGCCGACAGAGCCACAGCACTGATAAACACCCAATAAAGTGATATCACGGATGGGGACGCAAATGTATCCCAGATGGTGGGTGGTTGAGCAGGCAGATGGCACTGACATCGCCTTAAAGTCATGGCTAAATAGTCCGACCAATGTGGAATATGTTTCTGTGTACTTGTAAACACGTTCAAGTTTAATTAATAAGCAGTTGGCATGTTTCCTTAACACTGCAGTCTTAATACGGGGAAAGCTTCATTGGGATTCAGTGAGAACTGTACGTGTTTACATCTTCATTGTGAGGACTTGATTTGGAGGGCTGTTTTTTCCTGTTAACATGGAATAAATAATGGAATAAAAATACTAGCCCACTGACATCAAACTTGTTATTCTGGAAGAAAATTACAGTGATCTTCAGATGCACAACAACTGAACAAGTCATCAACATGCATGTCTCGGCTGCTGTTTGTTAAAACATCAAATAATGTTGAGTGTTCCACAGAGGGAGGAATTAAAAATGCAGTCGTCAGTATGTTGATGGCAACAGTTGCTGCATAATGTTAGATTTGATTGCTCTGACTTTCATTTATTTATTTTAATGTTGGCTCTGTTCACAGAGGACCCTCTTGGTGAGGTTTAATCTTAAGATCCACCAATACAATGTTCTTTAAAATATTAAAATATTTTAGATTTTTTTTTTCTTGTCTGGTTTGTTTCTGCCATATTACATTTAGTAGGATTTCTTATCTTGAAAAAAATACTTAAGCTTAGTTCCTGAAAAAGTGAATAATATGGTTAATCAGTATTGTCATTCTGTAAAGGATTCATCAGACTGATTCTCAACACTAGCAGCAGAAAACTAGTGGTTTATTGTTGGTTTGTGCAGCATTTTAGCACTGACTTTTCGTGAACCTGTTATGCGATGCAGACGCAAATAGTCTGTTATTGAAGAACAATATGTGCTGTTACACACATGTAAAAAGGTTGTTTACCTGCCCTAAAAGCATCAAAGGAAAAAGAAAAACAGACAGTTTAAATGTACCGGTCAAACGTTCACCTGTTTGTAAGATAATATTTACTAGTAAATGTATCATTTGAATTTCTTTTTTTACTAATACAGTAATGTTGTCTCATTTGAAATATGACAGATGTAAACAAAAGAATGTAACCCAGCTATAATCAATTGCAGACTTGTTTCCTCTGTTTCTGGCTTTTTTATTCTGAGTATCATATGATATGTATTGAATGTCAATTACAAATTTAGCTGCATGTATTGAGTTTCTGATGCTGCCTGTGCTGCATATCTACAACGCAGCATTGTTGGTGATGATAAACACGTCCTAACACTGTTGCCGCGTCCCAGAGAAATCAATTTAACGGTGACATCCAAAGTGGAAACACATTCTTTTATTCTCTAACTTCCTAGAAATCGCTCAGATCCTGACACAGTCCAGATACACCATACATCATTCTGCTCCAGGGACGCGCAAAATGACTCAAAGCAGCGCGTGTCTGTAATGTTATATCCTTGCAGTGCTTTTAGGTTGCTTGTTTGATGAAACGGTATCATCGCATGCTAAATAAAAACAACAATCCAAGATGCATTATCAGTGGTGTAAAGTAACTAATTACAAATCCTCAAATTACTGTAATTGTAACTGTAATCTTAATCAGAGTATTGTCTTAATCGTATTAAATTTGGATTATATGTGTCCATGTGAACATACAAATTTTTCTTTGACCAACAGTGTTACACAGTTCCTCTTCAGTGGCCTCATGGGATAGTTTGGCACAACAACAACTCACTCTTAAAGGGATTGGAAGGTGAGTTGTAATATTTCCTTTATATGAATAAGATCAATGATTCTCAAAGTCAAATATGTTATAAAAAACTAACGTACATTTATGTAAATTTTCAAAATACAGTTTGAGTTGATCTCTAAAACTGTTTATTTCGTATATATACAGTTGGAGTCAGAATTATTAGCCCCCCTGAATTATTAGCGCCCCTGTTTATTTTTTTCACCAATTTCTGTTTAATGGAGGGAAGATTGTTTCAGCACATTTCTAAGCATAATAGTTTTAAAAACTTATTTCTAATAACGGATTTATTTTATCTTTGACATGATGACAGTAAATAATATTTTACTTGATATTTTTCAAGACATTTCTATACTGCTTACAGTGAATTTTAAAGGCTTAACTAGGTTAATAAGGTGAACTAGGCAGGTTAGTGTAATTAGGCAAGTTATTGTGTACCGATGGTTTGTTCTGTAGATTATCGGAAAAAAAAAAATTAGCTTAAAGGGGCTAATAATTTTTTCCCAAAAATGTTTTTTAAAAAAATGAATAACTGCTTTTATTCAAGCCAAAATTAAACAAATAAGACTTTCTTCAGAAGAAAAAAAATATTATCAGATATACTGTGAAAAATTCCTTGCTCTGTAAAAAATAATTTGGGAAATATAAAAAAAATAATAATAAAATCAAAAGGGGGCTAATAATTCTGACTTCAACTGTATATATAATCTATAATGATTTCTATAACCTGGGGAAAAGCTTGCTATTTTCCCCAGGTTATAGAAATCCTAAATATTATATCTATGCTCAAAAAAGGGAGGGGAAAAAGAAATGCTGGATCATTTATGTACATATTATCTTTTATTTACCTATTTTAAAGAAGTATTTCAGCTCCCTAAACATCCATTTGTTTTATGCTGATTTTGGCGCTCATTTATTTTTAATTATTATCAGATCTCAATTATTTATAATGGTTTTTAGCATTTATATTTAATTCATAGCATTTATGTTGAATGAAAGTGTGGCTGTAGCATGTATAATTCATATTAAATAGAAGAGAGGCTTTAATTAATAAAAGAAATGCATTCATGCTAGATACAAGTATAGTATTTTCAATTTAAATCTTGCTTACTGCCCAGAATACTAGTTTCCACTAAAGTTTGTAATTTCTTTTAGTATTGTATTGTGTTAGACTGTGCTTCGGAGAAATGATGCTGAAAATACAGTTTTGCATCACAGGAAATAGTAAATTTACATTTTGTAATATGTTAAAATAGAAAACAATTATGACCACAATGAAACTTTCGACTTGTAGTGTATATAATGGCAAGTATGCGTATTTGATTACAGCCTTGCTCCATAATCATTAAATCAGTCATGAGTTGACTAATACCCAATAGCTTGGTTGTTGGTGTTTATTTTAATAAATGAGCTTCAGTGGAGTGTAAAGCTTCTAAATCTGTTGTGCACACAATATTGACAAGGTGGCCTGTTCAGTACGCATTAAATAATTTAAATGTGCGTATATGATCTCATTCTGGACTACTTTCTATGTGCAGCTGCCATGTGCTGATATACTGGAAGAACAATCCGCAGTAAACATTGTGTACTTGTGATTGTTTTTGTCTCCCATGGGTGCGATATTTAGAGACGTGTGTACATACAACCTCACAGGGCTCTACGATGAATGGCCAAACTGCATGTTTGTGTGTGTTCAAACTCGCACATTTGTATTTGTGTCAACGAAAGTGGGAGGAGAAAGGAGTGTCTGTTTATTGTAGAAACAAACAGTGAAATGGTCGAACTCTCATGCCATGGGTAAACTTTGCGACTCGTGTTTGTTTCATGGATAGTTTGCAGTTGAATGGTGCAATGGAAGAAATGGACAGCTCAAATTCATTGACATTTTTCCTCGTGGTCATTTATGAAGAGAGCAGAGCACAAAGTTCATGCGTGCTGGTTGTGTCAATGCGTCAAACACCAGATCCCACAAACTAAACAGTGTTGTTCCATCAACACTTCAGAATAGATGTTTTGATGAATAAAATCAGTCATTCCAATTTGTAAACTGTTGAGAGAGACTCCCACCCACAGTGCATGGGAAACTGGATCTTTGTGGGTTTAAATTAATCAGAGTTCAATATTGCCACCATATATTATGCAGTTTTTAATTTGTTTAAAAATCCACCTTAAAGGCACAGTATGTCATTTTTGCAATCTGAACTCTCAAAGAAATGTAACTATTTTACATTTTGTCAGTTTAGTGGCTAATTTATACAAGTTCAGTACAAAAATGTATAATTTTAAAAAGGAGGCGTGGCACCCACACCCTAAACCCAACCGTCATTGGAGGATGAGCAAATAATAGTAAATTGTACAAATGACTTTGTATGAATTCATACAAATTAGGCACTAAATCAAAAAGTTAAGAAATGTAGTGACATAGTGTTGAATTTTTGCTGCTAGAAGGCGCATTTTCACAACAAACAAAGGCATAGTTTGATGATGATGTAACTGAGGGCCTACTTGCACTATTCTGTCCGAACCGTGCCCAAGCCTGTTTCCTGGGTCTTTTGAGAAGTGTGAGTGCTCTGTAACGGGCTCAGGCACAAGCATTTATACATTGGTTTGTTTTTTCTTTTTCAATACAGATTCACAAAAATACTTTGCAGGTGTCACGGTGGCGCATGTTTACATGTTCTCCCCGTGTTCGTGTAGGTTTCCTCCGGGTGTTCAAAGACATGCGGTATAGGTGAATTAGGTAAGCTAAACTGTCCGTAGTGTATGTGTGTGAATGATTGTGTATGCAAGTTTCCCCGTAATGAGTTGCAGTTGGAAAGGCATCTGCTGCGTAAAAAGATGGATAAATTGGCAGTTCATTCCGCTGGGCCAACCCCTGATTAATAAAGTGACTAAGCTGAAAATAATAATAATAATAATAAAATCTATTGTGCAAAATACAAATAAAACAGATTTTCATATAAATTTCAGCAAATAAACATCCTTATTAACACCTTTTATCATTTTATTACGATTTTCCTGTTAATGTTTACTTTTACAAGCACATTTAGGGAAACTCCTGACATTATTTATATCTCTGAAGTTTGATTATAAAAATGTTGAGCATTCCCACCTCCTTTATTGAGCTTCAGTGACTTCTGGGACTTCTAGATCGAGTACTGTGCTCAAGCCAGCATCAATGCATATCATGAACACAACAGGGTTCTGTCATGCGTCCTCCATTCTTGCAGTCTTGAGTATTGTAACTGAACTTACTGAACTTTGGCGGTTGATGACGACGTTACACATGAACACAAGGATGCAAAAACTCATATTAAGAAACAGCAATACAATCCCCACTGCATGCAAGCATTTTAAAAGTGTTTTGTCAGAGCAACACAAACAGAATGCAGAAGTATAAATGCTCGGCTACATGCAAGACAGGCATAGTGGGTTACAGAGATCATTTGACGGAGAAGTATAATTGAGCCTTAAGGCTAAGGAACCATCGATGTGAAACCAGATCTATGAAGCAATTGCTGATGAGAGAAAAGCACCACATGACATGAAAGCAGCTGACTTTTATTATGCCATATCCATCGCTTCTTGGTCAAGATCACATGAAAAATAAGCAGCGCTGTTTTATTATACTAAATACATTTAAAGTTACACAACATGGTAAAGCATCTTTGGTGCTTCCTTCTTTTCTATAAAACATTCATCTATTTCCATGGCCACACAGGACACATTCCTGTCACTAGTTAAATTGCTTATTTCTCTGAATTGTAACATACTTGAATAACATTCAGGATAATATAAGTACTTAATCAGCAATATATATAACACTGTTCTAGTTTTTTGGAAACATTGTGTCTTTAATTCATCATATGAAAACAGCATCTGCTACTAGCACTTTTTAGTTTCATGATTGTCATGACAATGTGGCAGACATTAGGGTTTGGTGATAAAAAAAAAAAAAAAATATATATATATATATATATATATATATATATATATATATATATATATATACTGTGTGATGGCAGAATTGTGTCAGGCAGTAGATATTTTGCTGCATCATTTATACTGCTGCAGATTTTTTTGTGTAGCTACCGTTGAGCAGGGTGGCTTTACATTATTTACACACGATTGTGACAAAGAAACAATGAATAATGCAAATATATTGAGCTGGATGTGTCCCAAGCAGGCCAAGATGAACGAGAACTTGATATTTGAAGTCAAGAAAAACATAAATTTGGTTAGGTAAAGTCACAACTTGGTGAATTAATTTATAATTTATCGTGCATGCACTCACTTTACTGTTTGTTTTTATAGGTTCACTTTGCGAGTTCAGTGTTGGACCCAAAGCAATCTCACAGCAATTATTATTTTATTATTATTATTTTTTATTTTTTGTAGCTTACTGTGTGTTAACACCAAAGACAGTGAGAGTGTCAAAGTTTGCTCTGGCAACAACGCTGTTTGCCTTTACTGCTTCGCGATGAGACCATCAACATTTGCTATGATCTCAAATTTATAGGAGCCGTTGCAGCATATTACTTACATTCCTGCATAAAAACATGCTTCTTATCGAATTCCTCTAACTATGAAAGATCGAGTTCCATTGCGTTCCAATGTTGTTGCATGTGGTGTGGCTTTGCTCCACTTCTCCAATGTGTGAATGACACATGTGTCTGTAATATTCTAAAGCAGCAATACTGTTTTGTACTGTCGTTATAGTTACTGTGAGATTCACACTTTTTTAAAGACTAATTTAAAATATACAGTATATATATATATATATATATATATATATATATATATATATATATATATATATATATATATATATATATATATATATATATATATATATATATATATATATATATATATATACACAGTTGAAGTCAGAATTTTTAGCCCCCCTGAATTGTTAGACCACTTGTTTATTTTTTTCCCCAATTTCTGTTTAACGGAGAGCATTCATTTCTTGTCGGCTTAGTCCCCTTATTAATCTGGGG